TGAAATACATGAGCACCCTTACCCTGTTGCTGAGGCTTTCAGGACCTCCAGTCATGCTTTTCTCAGACATCTTTTCTTCATGTTGCCATTTTGATTTTTAAGGGGCACATTATTTTCCCAATGGCCTCCCCAGTGACGCATACAATTATGATTTTTACCTACAATTCTTCTTATATTTCTAACTTTCGGCTAAGAGTAGATGTACTCTCAAAGACGAAATCTGGAGATCCAGTTTCCTAATGTGATGTCCTCCCTTCCCCCAGTCCTTTTTAAAGCTGATACTGTAGTGCAGTCTTACCAGCATGGTCTGTGTATTTTTTGTAAAAGTTACATTTAGTCTTTGACTTAAATCTCTTTAGGAATCGTGAAGAGGTTGTTTTGTGGTGGTTTTTTTTTTCTTTTGGATCTTTCTTGAAATGCATGCTATTTATCGGGTATTAATATTATTATCCTGTAATGCAACAGTTCCTATGATTCATAAACTATTCTCCTTGACTAGATTTAAAACAGGTGTGTCTTTTCCAGAAACTAAGGAAAAATCATCACTGGGAAAAAAAAAACACCTCAATTCTTTGAGAAAATTCCTAACTGCTAATACAGTATCAATTTTTTCTTGAATTCCAGGAGAAGGAAAGTTGTTCGCTGCCCTCTCCTATTTGTTACTTTGCTTACAACACACCAAAAAAAAAAAAACCCTTAGCTTAATCGTGAGATCTTAACTGAAAGCAGTCCCTTCTAGTAAGCATTAAATATTTTACATTTATGAATTTGCTTTGTTTGTTGCATTTACTGTCTTACTCTCCTTTCCCAGAAAGTGAAATTTTCTTCCTAAGCCGAAACAGTGTGGTCAGTAGAAGCAGATTTGATGTATAAACTTGAGGAATGCCCCACCTAGTGGACGATCACAATCTCGTTTTCTCATTGCTCCAGTTCAGACAGGGAGGCTTAAGGTTACCTTGGGTTTCCTTACATATTAACCGTGTTTACTGCCAGCTCAGGAAATTGATGAAATAGCTGGAATTTCTTTCCCCTTTTTTCTTGGGGTGTGGTGGTGGTTTTTGAGGAGCTGGGAGTGGGGAAAGGTAAAAAGGGTATTTACATTAAAGAGTTTCAAGTTGGAAAAGATGTTGACATTTCAAATAAATGTTTTAACATGGAAAATAATTACAAGCTATGGTGATTGAAATGGCCATCTTCAAAACTAGTTTTCCTGGATGTCAGAGGAAAGGAAGTATCTTGACAGAACAGTTTGGGGGGTTGGATTTCTTTGTTCAGTATGAGAATACCTTTCCCTTGTACACGAAAAGGTGCAGTGAACTTCTATAAAACAGGACAGCAAAATGGAGGGAGTGGAAGCCTGTCTTGCATCTCAGACACGTGTGCTTTTAAAGGCAGACTAGGGAATATGAGTTATACCCCACTGTGAACAGAAGCTACTAATTGGAAAAGGTGGGATGAGGTAATATGTTGCTCTGCCCTTCCTGTTCGTATGTCCTATAATATTCACATCTATCACTGTGTGTATGAAGAAAATTTGTCAAAAGGCAAATTTTTTGTTCCCTCAAAGTTAAATTCCTTATCTTTCTGTCCTGCTTTTGGAGTTGGTATTTGAATTGTATATAATGAGATTGTATTCAAATAGGCTTTCTTATTCTTCTATATTATAAGAAATCATTTATGATCATTATGAGAAAAGACTTGATAAACTCTTGTTTATTCTTATGTACTGTGTATTTGGAATAGACACTTCATTCCATAAATGAAATCAGATGCTGAGGAATCAGCATACATTCTGTGATCTTTTGGAGAGGCTTAAATGTACAAGTAATGTCCAAATGATAAAATAGGCTCAAGAGTGATGCCTGTAGACAGATGTAAACTTTTGAACTGAGAAGAGGAGGAGGCAGGAACAAGAATCTTATCTATCCATATTCTAGTTCACATAGTTTCCCTGAAGTATTCTGTTTGCTAAATGCCAAAAACGGGGTGGGGGGGGAGGAATGTGTCAAGTAAGTTGACAATTTGAGGTGAGCTGTGTTTAATTCTTACTCCATGGCAACAACCTGTCTCTTGATGTGAGTTGTGGGGGACATGCCAAGTGTTACAACATTATCTCTTTCTAGAGGCTGAGTCTTACTGTTTTTTCTCTTTCTCTTTTTTTCCCAAAGAATGAATAGGTAGATTAGGTTGTTTTTGCTGCTGCCTTTGTTAACTTTAGCATTTCTATAAATAGAACACTATACTAATTAAATAGAAGGTCAGGATTTGCTGACAGAGTACGAATGTGTTGCTTACTTTTGCCACATGATGTAAAGGCACATAAGCTATATATTATCTTTAAAGTATCATCAGTGAAGCTTGGTGTCAGTTAACAGTGGATGCTGAATCTAAAAGCAGATTTTCCTAATAAAGTAATTCTTCTACCCATTCCTGATGTCAGGAATGGTATAGGGAAGCTGAAATTGATTATTCTGTTCAGAAGTAACTTCTGAATTCAAAGGTCTCCCTACACTGTAGAGCATCATTTCATCTGGTATGCTGACATTGCTTGGTCTGTGTAATGTACATTCATAACTTGTACATTATGATTTTTTTCCTCCAGTTCTTAAAGGAGTGATGGATTTCTTTCTTTAGTAGCCGTTTTGTGGAGCAGAGGTGATGTCACTTGATACGATGTTGCAGATCATATCAAATACATGGGATAACTTACTAATATATTAGACTACTACGGCACAATATTAGTTTTATACAAAAAGTTCTTTAAATAGACCTGTATTATATTTATAAGTGTTTGGTTTTGTTTCCTTGTTTTTTTTATGGTCCGTTTTCTGTTACGCTGTCCATTGAGAAATGCAAAATGACATAGCTTACTGAAACAGAGTATTTGATATCAAAGTAAAGGAAGAAGTTGCACACTTTACATTTCCTCTTCAGTGTTAAAAACTTTATGAAACAGTCTGCAGAAAAAAAAACACCTTAAAACCATCTTCATAAATTCTTGGATATTGGGGAGTGAATTTTGGTTAAATTTCTTCCACAGGTTGAAATATACTAAAGTATAAATCTAGATTTTGGGGAGGTTGGGGGGTTTTTTGTTTTGAATTTTTTTTTTTTTTCAGGCAGTTACCTTTTCAGGCCTTCAGTCTTAGGCAGGCTTAAAGATGTTAATTTATACCTAGTTAATCTTATATAGTGGGTTATTTGCTCAGGCTTCACAGTTTTGTATCCTTTTGCCAATATAGTCTGGTTTATCTTAACAATAACGAAAACAAACAAACAAAAACCAAATCAGGCCAGTCTCTCAGCAGTGTAGTTCGGCAGGGCTGCTGCCACTAAGTGGGTTATAGTAGCTTAAGGGGTAGGGGGGCAGAGAAGGAAGTAACCCTTACTCTTGGAATAGATGAACAGCATTCATTCTTCTGCTAAATCAAAATAAAAATTGTCACAATTCCTGTCTGAGTTCCTCTGAGATTCTCAAAAGAAAAACCAAAGTCTTCAATCACCTCTGCTGCTTAATGGTGAAGTTGTATAATAGCAAAGAACTTGAGACTGAAATTACTTTTTTGCAAAATGATTTTTTTGATCTTTTTAGATCTGATGAAATATGGTTTGTTTTTCTGATCTTTGTCCTAATCTTCATGTGTCCCAAGGGTAAATCAAGGCTTTAGATCCAGCAGTTGCACTAGTTTATGCTTTCTTCATTTGGGGGGGGCATGGAGAGGAGGGGAGAAGTGGAACTGGGTGGCTGAGGGAACTGGGATTGTTTAGCCTAGAGAAGAGGAGGCTGAGAGGAGACGTGATTGCTCTCTACAACTTCCTGAAATGAAGTTGTAGTGAGGCCAGCGTTGGTCTCTTCTCCCAAGGAACTAAAGACAAGAGGTAAAGGCCTCAAGTTTCACCAAGGGAGATTTAGATGGATATTAAGAAAAATTTCTTTACTGAAAGAGTTGTTAGACATTGGAATGGGCTGCCCAGGGAGGTGGTGGAGTCACCATCCCTGGAGGCATTCAAAAGACATGTATAGATATGGTGCTTAGGGACATGGTTTAGTGATGGGCTTGGTAGTGTTAAGATAATGGTTGGGCTTGATGATCTTAAAGGTCTTTTCCAACCAAAATGATTCTATGATTAGTACAACCAGATTTCATTTACAAATTTAGTCATTCTTTTCTTTATGTATGTCTTTATAAATCTGGGAGGGCAGTGTTCAGTACACTTGAATTCCTGGCTGTATTGCAACACCATTGAAATGTTTACACACAAACTTGCACTTAAAATCTTGCTTATAAATTTTACTGAATTGTGTTCTCTGAATGGAGCATAAAAATAATGCAAGCCATCATGGATTAAGAGGTAGCTGTTTTGTATGGCAAATCTAATGCATTAACACTAGGTCCAAGAAAGCTGTTGGCTCATCTCCGTTTTTATTGGGGCTCATCACAAGGTTGTGGGCTCTAAGAGAAGCAGAGGTGGCAAACATGGAGTATTTCTTAAAATTCTTAATTGTCTACAAAGACAAAGGATATTATGCTGTATTGTTTCTGCTCACTTTTTTTATGCTTGATAGCACTTATAAAATACTGCTATGTATAAAGCTTTTTGCCAAACTAATTTATCTTTTCCCCTGCCAAGAGGAATGCCACTTCCATCTCCCAGTATGCTTCTAACTTAAACATTGCTTGCACAGACACAGGGGGATGAATTTTATATTTAACTGTAGCCAATGAACAAGTGTAATACTGATTATTGATGAGGAAGAAAAAAGGTTCTAGCTGGACCCCACAGGGTTATTTATTTTTGTTTGCAATAACTGTATCCCCCAAAGCAGGACGGAAGCCTGTTTTGTCCTTCCTGTTCAAATTAAACTACCTTTCCAGTAAACTGTTACCTTGTAAGTTAAACATGAAAACACTGTAAGCTACATCCCTTGTGATGTTGGAGGCTTTTTGGAAGGAGAGAATTGGTGGCGTATTTAATGCCTTTTTTTAAACTTCATGCAGGCACACGTCTATTCTTTGGGTGCAACATTGAAAGCAGCAATAGAATATATAGTAGAACCTGAGACAGAATCAGAATTTGGACAAGATCTGCATACTCTGCTGGAACAAATGCAAGAAGAGAGTCCTGAAAATAGGCCAGATATTGAGGTAAAACAGCCCTATATAATTTTCTGTTTAAAAAGGTGACAAATATTTCTGTATGTGTCCTCATTAATAGAGAGATGGTCTTTATATGTCATATGCTCAGATTTTTGCAAGAAAGCTGAAGTTTTCCTAGACTCAGTAGAAATTCTTTCTTCCTACTCTAGTGGAGATACAACCTGAAAAACAATGTAGATGTTTTACGGTGATTTTTTTTCTGTAAAAGGCTGGGTGAATACACTTCTGGATCTAAACTTTATCATTACCTGTTTCTTCCCATTTAATATTTAGTTTACAGAGAGAGAGTGTCATTAGAAGTAAGAGCACAGGCATTATGTTGTGAAATTTGTGTGGTGTCTCAACTGGCGTTTGAATTGCATTTAAGAAGGGGATGGAGAGAGCCACACCAGGGAAGCCTCTGTTCCTTGACATGTTCAAGGTATTACTACGGACTAGTTTTTCTGTAAATATATGGATGTTTAGTAGTATCTTAATTGTTTTTGTATTGTATTCATTTTAGCCTCTTATTTTATCTTTAGTTTTTAGAAAGAAGTTGAAGATATATGAGATTTTTAAAGGTGATGTTTTCAAAGACTTTACATTCTAAATATTGGTTACTTAGCAGAGCATTATATGACATTACTGTGTGAAAGTTTAACTTTAATGCATTGTTTTTGCAGGCTTTCAGACTAGCAATTGTCCAAATGTGATTTTTCTCAGATTCAGTTCTTCTACTTCAGAATAGTGATGTTTACTTTTCTGTTTTTTTTTCTTCCCTGAGCTTCCCTAGTGTGTATTCTAGACAGTACAGCACCTATAATCAATACTTTACAGAAAGAGTGCTACAACTGAAGAATTAATAGATTCATTTTTATAAAGCAAATAATATTGGCTTGAGGACTGCCCAGACGGTAGACCATTCCTGACATAGAGCCTTCTTGATCACCTCTCATATTTCTATTCATTTACATTTGAACATAGTCAAGAAAGGGATTGTATAGCACTCCCTGTCATCTCCAATTGGTCTGTAGGCCCTGAAAGCTATTGCTGACTACTTACATCAGCCCAGAAACACAGTGGGTCAGATCTGGTCTGAGGTAATACATGAAGGCTGCTTTGTGACTCTCTGTTCTCTTTTTTTGTTTGTTTGGGTTTTTTTGTTTTTCCACTGGGCCCTTTCTTGGGTGGAAAGGAGTGGGGGGAGCTATATGGAGGGAAGACCAATAGTCTTTTCTAGGCATTTCACTAGGCTTCAGCACAGCTGGATACCTGTCTTAACTTTTTCCTGGCCTTCCTCAATCTGATACGTGAATCAACAGAGCCAATTTCTTGCTTCTACTCATAACAGCAGAAGAGCAGCTAAGCAGGTTAATGGGGAAGTAAGAGCAGCTTCTCAGAGCTGTATGTGGTCTCATCAATGTTCGTCTAGGAACAGTTAGTGAGTAAACGGTGGGATGCATGTGGAAAGGCAGCTCTCTTCTACTTCCTGCCCAAAGTGACAGGTTTTTAAATGTATGAAAGTCTGTAGTTAATTGTGTGCAAGACCGGTGCTACTGCCATCAAATGATGCTCAGGCTACAGGTTAAAGATATGTAATACTGTTTCTTCTTGTGATCTAATAATGATTACTTTCTATAATTGGGAATAGTGCTTTCTAGATGCCTGTATTTTGCAGTTTTTAAAAGCTTCAGGATTTACTTTTAATGTAATTCTGGTAATAAAACTATTTGTCGTCCTGTGTCACTCAATTCAAGTGAATCACTGGCTGTTTAAAAGACAACGCACACACTAAGTTTTTGTGTTTTCAGTATGTTATTCATAAAGGATAACATTTAAGATTATTAATTTTTATCGGTTATTAGTGTTGTAACTATAGGCTAGGACTTGAACCGTATTAAATAATTTCATGATAGCCCATGGTAAAAATGAGATATTAATTCAGCTACATAATAGAAACACCCAGTATAATGAACAGTGCAAGAATGTCTTCCAATGTAGCATCATATAAATTCAGTGAGTTAACATGATTCACTTTAGTCAAAATTCACAAATTCATGCATTATTAAATAAGTATTTAACACTGATTTTTCTCTAGAGCATTTTATCATTATGTGAAGAAAAACTGAAGATTGCTTCATCAAGTAATATTTGTCGAAGCCTGTCTGCTGTTGGAAGAAGGGTTCTTTCAATTGAATCATTTGGTGCTTCTCAAGGTAACCTTAAAATGTATTTAGTCTAGAACTTTAGATTGCTTGACAAATCTAATGATTGTTAAAATACTATGTTTGTGTACTTTCCTGTTATAGGTTCCTGTTATAGGTTCCTTTCTAGATATCAAAGTTGTTATTAAATATTTGTGGATTGGGGGTGGTGAGCAGAGGACATATACAATTCTTAATGAACATAATTCATGTATTTAGTGTGTGCTTTATGATTAAGTGACTTGTCCAGAAATAGTTAATAAGATTTACAAGGGAAGACTAGAAGGTTTAAATGTGCATTTAATATAAGCATCTGTTTTTGCATCTAGATGTCTGTGATAACATGTGGAAGGGAAGAATGTGTCAGAGAAGTTTGGGATCTAAATTATATTCAAATGAGAAAAACAGCATAGCAAGTGATTCGTCTGCAGTGGAAGACGTGACAGCTACCTGTCATAAGGACTCTTCTGTAGTTACTATGGTGACTGGCAGAGAAAGTGGTTTAAAGGAAATGCAAATTGATCTGGATAATGAGAAAACTCAACATTCTCAACTTGCAACTCCAGCTAAAAAGAGCAAAGAAGAGGACAAACATGCAGTGTATACTGACAGTTTTGCTTTGGATATAAAATCATGTGTTATTGACCTGGAGAGAGATGGCATTTTTAAGAAAGGTTCTTTGAGAAAAATTAAAACCTTTCCAAAGCTACCACTTGAACCTGCAGATTCAAATAACTTTTTTACTTCTGTAGCCAACAGTGGACCACTAGCTAGGAAAAATCACTTGCTAGCACAAGAGTCACTACCTCTAGACAATAATAATGAGGTTACTTTTTCAAAGGGAAATCTTAATTCATTTGCTATTAGTAGTCCACCAAAAATAGAACCAAAGAATCACCAGGTCAATGATCTTCATGTAGGAGCTCCATGTGTATGCACACAGGTGTCTGGCATGAATCTAGAAGAACATATGTCACTTATTAATGGTAAAAAGATAGGTTTTGCTTCATCTGATCACGAAGATGACTGTTCTGATGCTACCTCTGAAATGCCAAATACAGCTGGTGTGCTAGAAGGCCCAAATCGATCAATTGGTGGAGCAAAAATGCTAGACAATTATATGGCATTGGAAGACTCTTCTGAAACTTTTCAAGGGTCAAATGAAAATTCTTTACCACATTTTAACAACATGGCTTCGGTGTTAACGACAAAACCCAGTGGGAACAGATATGGAGCAAACCTAATTAGGTCTTCAGAATTAAGCAGCGGTGCAATGAGCGCAAACAATAATGAAGATAATCTTTGTGGAGGCAGAGGGTCAGAAATCAAAAGTAATGAGCAGGTAGTAAAAATAAAGTCTTCGTTATATAGTTGCTGTAGTCACTTATGTGGAGATGAAATGACTTAAATACTGTGCAATTTCTTCCCCCTTGTCCCCTTTAGCATCCTGGAAAATTTAATTTTGCTAGTCTGCATACTTTAAGAGTTAATATTGGAATCATGGTGATCCTTTTTCGTCTTTAAAAGTAAAGTGCTACAGTGAAATTTATGCTATTGCAAAATCAACTTTCATTTAAATTTATTTTTTTATAAATGGAGTATACTCGCTAGTGTGTTAGAGCCGCATACTTAATAGATGGTTACATTTGTAAGAGAACATTACCAAAGCGTATGTAGATTTTTAACTCTACGTTACTGTCAATGCATAAAGTTCACTACCTTGCATTGAGTCTCCCAGGTGCTTATGAAAATTGCAAAGTTCCTGACTGTAAACCTGACTCATTGAAATCAATGGCAATAGTTCATCTGCTTCAGGAGGTGAAAAGACTCCACTTTTTTTTGTTTACATGTACATTTAAGTCTTTGGAAATTGTACATAAGCTGTATCTGTTCTGTGTTCTTAAAAACCGCCTATATGTTTGTTATGTATATTTCATGATGGAGTTCAAATATGTGCACAGTATGATGGATATGTTGTCTCAAGCATTTAATCTTTATAAATAGCCAGATAAGAAGACGGAGAGCTGATAATTAGTCTACTAGAATTTGTTGATAGTTGTAGTATGGTCTCTTCTCTGCTCAAATTACTTATTCTCAGGGTGGACAAGTTTGGTCTCTGACTAGATGGTTCTCTTGTGCCACGCTCGAAGAGATGTAAACAATCCCTGTGATTAGGGGAGCTGCTGGCTAAACATGCAGGATGGTTGATGCTTCTCCAGCCTCGCTGTGACTTGTTAAAAATGAGCAGCACAAACTTCACACATTTCACTTCCAGAAATTATGCTTAGGTGAAGATGTTGGGTTTTTTCCTTACTTGCCTACTGACAACTCAGCCTTGTTCTCCTTGCCTGACAGCCAGTCTTCCAGCCATCCCATGCAGTGGCACCTAGGGTTATTTTCAGTCTGCGATCATCCCTCTTTTCACCTTGCCCAAACACCTCCACTGGAGTAGTAACCTAGGACTGTCAAGTGTGTAAAGAGCCTTCAGTTCGTCATAGCTAAAAAAAATCAATGCAACTTTGAAGATTCTGTTCAAACCGCTTTTTTTTCCTTTCAGTCTCTTCTCCCCTCAATAGCATGCGTCCTTATTGACTTCATAGTGCAGGAGGATAGTAAATATGGATAAGTACCACATGGCATGGTTTTGCTCTCTGAGGAAGTTACTCATTGTATGCATATTGAGGCCTTTAGTTTTTTAAATCCTGCAGGTGCATTCCTCAGACTCTGGCAAAAGATCAATTTGTTGTAGACGCCTCCTTTTTCCCACCCTTCTTCCTGCTCTAGACTATGCAACCTTACATATTTAGAAGAGCATGCAAAGTAATAGCCAGGTTTATAACCATTCCAAAGTCTTCTGCTTTTGCTATGTCATTTGTTACTTTGGATTTACATGAACCTGCTTCATTTGGTAAATGTGCTTGTGTTTCTAGCAAGGATCATAGCAATTTCACTTACTGACTTCTTGTGAGAAAGCTTATTAGTATACAGAACTCTGGATAGGTCTTAGCATTCAAGCAACAGAAACAACTGTCTTTCATCTTATGTGCAAATCTCTTCTCTTTTTTTTTCTTTTTTTTTTTCCCCCTCCTGAATGGAGTTGTTGGGGGGCGCAGGGTATGCTTAACTATAAACCTAGGAATTGGTATGTTTATTTGTCATGGAGAAGATGGCTGAGATAAAGCTATCAGACTGCTATAAAACCCCTGCAGCTGGTGTGTTGAAGCTTTCTGTTTTGGGGTGGTTTTTGTGGTTTTTTCATTCCAAGAAATAAAGGTATCACTTAAGTCATTTGTCTTGAGGTAGAAGTGGGCTTACTTAAGCCTCTGTGTTAACTAGAGAGGTGTGGTGAGTAAGTAGCCATGACTTAAGAACATAAATTGGGTGTGGTGATGGGGGTTCTTCTTTAAGGAGAAAAAAAAACAACTTTAAGACCTATATTCTTTCCTCGCTGGATTACCAGGCCAACAGTATAAGTCTGGGTACATGAAGACGCTTTCTGGAAAATAATCTTCCTTAGCTTTAGTTTCCCAAAGTTCTTGCATGATTTAAAAGCTGTAACGAATGTCCTGTTTTCTTTTCCTGCAGCAGCACTTGAGATTGGCACACAGAAAAGTAAACCAAATATGTTTTCAAGTTATTCTGCCATTCTTCTGAAATCCTCTTTTTCTTCAAATATTTCATCAATTTAAATAGTGTTCTTTCAGCTGGAACAGAATTTCATTTTTCCAAATAAGCAGGCTCTTAGTAGAAGTGAGGTTATCCTGCTCCCACTGAATTTGCAGGGCAATCACAGTGAATTAGAAAAAGTAACTATTATTCCAGTTACCCTAATAAGCATTGTCATAATACATACGATCTGAAATGAAGACAGCAGGATGTTTGCTGTCTATGAAACCAGAGTTTTATAGCTGTGTTTTCAGTAGAGAAAAGGTTTTGATAGACTCATGCTCTATATTCTTTAGTAATCAATTCCAACAAATGTTCAGGTTCTGCCACATAAAAATATTATGCTCTTTACAGGTATCCTAAATTGGACTTAAAAAAAAGTCTTTGGTTATTCAACTGCTGTAGGGAGAATAAAGCATTTAAATATATCGGTATCTGTGAGCAATACCTAGGTATCTGAAATGGCTGGCTGTTCCCTGAAATGCTGAGCTTCTAGCCTGGTAATCTTTGTTTGGTGGTTTTCTGAAGGAGAATCATTCATTTTCAGTAGTCATTGAACTGTATGGCACTATTATGTTAGAGAAAGCAGGGGGGTATGTTTTTGGCTTTTTCTTCTTTTGGAAAGCAAGTTTTATTCCTAAGGCTTCTGAAACATAGTTTTTGTCTCTGTCTTTCCTCCTGACAATTGCAAAAATAAAGCCATAATGTGCTATCCCTTATGTGAAAAATTTACAACTGATGTCTCTCTTTCAAGTTCCCTTTCATTTCTCTGTTCCAGAATTTCACCAAATACCTAAAAATGCTTGGGTTTTTTGATTTGTTTGAGAAGCTAAAACTTGAACCTAAGAGTTTGTTCATTTACTGCAAAGGCACAAAAAGTGTGAAGCCTCAACTAATGTGATTTCTACCTTCCTGGCTAATAGAAAACACCTCAGATTATTTACAGTGCTGCTCTTTCACTAGTTTTCTATAACAGATAAGTGTGATTGCAGCAAATAGGGCTTTTAGAATACTATCTCTAACATCTCTAAATATTGCTTGTTCTTTAAAGAAAGTGCAATAGCAGTCCCATCCGGTTGAAGATCAACCTTGTCTACTCTGGAGAACAGACAGTTTTTCTTGCCTGTCAATACTTCTCCAGTGGACAATATTTTTCTAATACTCCAACACTGCTTCTTAACGTTGTGTGCTTCACTGCTAGTAAGCATTACTAAAAATACTTGCTTGCTTTTGTCTGGCTACTGCAATGTATCTTGTGAGGGTTTTCCTAGTAATTTTTATAGTTTTGCATGCCGTAAATAAATATTTTTCACTTCAAGTTTGAGTGAGGATCTTTTATTTCTCTAACCAATTTCATTCCAATCAGGTGTGTCTCATCTCTAATGCTTTTAAATGTTTCTCTGATTCAAATGCTATGGCCTTTACATGGGAAGGGTTAGTGGGAACCTGACATACAGACATTTGTTTTCTGTTGGTCATTCATACCCGTCAAGCATGAGAGAAATGAAAAGCCGTGTAGCTAGAGAATGACACTTGAACACTGGGGAAGTAACACTTGAGGGAAAGAAAAGTTGTTAATTCCCAGAATAGTACTTATTAAGGAAAGAATAATGAAAATCTTGCTTGCTTTGGCTGTTTAAAATATGCCAGTGTTATGTTCATAAAATACAGTATGTTGGTGTAGTCTTTAGCTTTACTGAAAGTTTTGTTTTACGGTTCAGGTACCAACAATGAAATAAAAGATATGTTAAATGATCTTTGCAGCACTGAAAAAAAAATCACTTTTTCAACAAGTGAGATTTAAAATGCAGGGGTTTTGGCATAAAACAAAATGTCACCAGTATGTAGCTATAGGCAATAATCATTCGTATGGCTTTTTCATATTTTGTGTCAAAATTTGTGCTGTGAAAAAAGCTTCCTTATTTTAAAAACTGGGTTGTATAATTTGTTATGAAAAAGACTGGTTTAGAACATGAAAAAATTTCAGGTAGAGGCACTGGATTATAATTTTGTTTACTCTTTGGTACAATTTCACTGGTGATAATAAATGTTTTAACAGTATTAAAATAACTTTAATATTTAAATTAAGTGGACTTGAGGCCTTGTGGATTCTGAACAGTTGTCTTGAGCTTGCTCTGCTAAAATGTCTGAATATAGTTAAGAAATGTATGCATGCTACTGGCAGTTTGACTAAAAAATTTTAGTTGTCTGTTTTCCAGCACTTCAGATATTTTATTTTCTTTCTTGGTGATTGAGTGGACTACTTTTAAAGTTGTAGGGAATAGTAATAGCCATGAATCAGAGACTTGCATGTTAGAAAACAAAACAACCGAACCTGAGACATATGCCTAAATAATTACACTTAACCGTTTACCA